GTTATTACATTAATGCATGTAAGGTGAACTAGCAAACACGTCATAGCTACATGCGGCTGTCTTCTTGTTTGATAGAGTGATACCATATATGCCCTACAGCTGCAGAAAAGGCCAACTTTGTTATCTTTTTACAAACAAAAAACAAAAAACAGCTAAACATGAGAGGTTTTTGGACAGAATTTGTGTTTGCCATTGTTTAAGCACCGGTTCCAACCAAAGGAGGTATGTTGTATCAACAGAAAAGGCTAACTTGGTTATCATTTTGCAGAAAAAAAAGAGACTTCTAAAAATAAAAACATAAGAAGTTTTTGGACAAAGTTTGTGTTCTCCATTCTTTAAGCATCGGTTCAAGCACCAGCACCGTTTCAAAAGTACCGGTTTGGCACCGGTATTGGATAAAACCTAAACAATACCCATCCCTATACTTGACTGTTATGGAAAACAACTAAAACAGAGGCGGGTCTGTAGTAGTGGAAGAAGGCTAATAGAGAAAGCATTCATCTCTTCTGCCCTAAAAACCGCTACAGGAAGTCTTTCATAGCTCATTAATGTTATTATTTTTTACTACTACGATTATACCTGGTGACGCTAAAGAGTATTTAAAGAGTATATAGCTACCTAGCTTACCAATTAACCTAACCCCACTAACTGCATGTCTTTGGATTGTAGGAGGAAACCGGAGTACCTGGACAGAACCCATGCAAACACAAAGAGAACATGCAACTTCCAAACAGAAAGACCTTGGTCAGATGGTGAATTTGAACTTCTTGCTGTGAGGCAGCAGTGCTAACCACCGCACCACCGTCCTACATACATGCACGCACATGCACACTATACTGAAATAACTCTACCTTACCTTCATGGACGGTCACCCCACAGTTGTCACACTGAATTATTTCATCTGCATCCTCGCTGTTGTCTCCCAGACAAACGCAGCAGATGAGAATGTGTTGTGTGCTCCAGGTCTGGGACCGATCCAGCAAAGCACCCTGGGGAATCAGGGAGCAGAGTCAGAGTCACAAACCCAATGACTGACATTCATGGAAACGGTTGAAGTTGATTCTCTTGAATTTACTATGATGACATCAAAACCTTTCATTGGATTGCAGGCATTCGATGACTCGTGTTGTACTTTGGTATTATGGAGCACCAAGCAAAGGTGCCAATGTAAAAGCCAGCTGCCTTAAATTTAGTTCAGCTGTAAATAAGCTAAAACAAACTTATGGTATTAAGCTCTTAGATATTACAGATATTAATAAATGGTATATGCATTTTAGATTATCATCTCTGATTTTGGAGCAGGCGTTAACAACACTCCTGAAAACAGTTTCTATTCTTAATAGATAAAACACTAAACCAGCATATAAGAGAACAAGAAAACAGATTCCCATGATGCATTTAGTATTTTCTTTTTCAGTCACCTTTCTCACTCAATATGTGTTAATAGACCTCTCTTCATTAAAGCACACTTGTTATTAATCTCTGGCTCTCCTCTACAACATGTCTTTATCCTGCCTTCCTTCTCTCAGGCTCAGGGAGGTTCTGCCGGAGGTTTCTTCCTGTTAAAAGGGAGTTTTTCCTTCCTGCTGTCACCAAAGTGCTTGCTCATAGGGGGTCATATGATTGTTGGGTTTTTCTCTGTATTATTGTAGGGTCTACCATACAATATAAAGCGCCTTGAGGTGACTGTTGTTGTGATTTAGGGCTGTATAAATAAAATTGAATTGAATGTAAAAAGAATTTTAATAAATGAACAATAAAAATTACATCCATCCATCTTCTTCCGCTTTATCCGGGGCCGGGTTGTGGGGGCAGCAGCCTAAGCAGAGAAGCCCAGACCTCCCTCTCCCCAGCCACCTCCTCCAGCTTATCTGGGGGAACACCAAGGCGTTCCCAGGCCAGCCGAGAGATATAATCTCTCCAGTGTGTCCTGGGTCTGCCCCAGGACCTCCTCCCAGTGGGACATGCCCGGAACACCTCACCCAGGAGGCATCCTTGTCAGATGCCCTAACCACCTCAGCTGGCTCCACTCTGAGATTTGGTGTGTTCATGGTTATGAGCTTTTGTACATGTTTGTCTGCATGTGACTGCAATGAAAAGAGGCCAGCATACAGTATCAGCATCCAAGTTTGTACTTTGATGCAAAGCTTTTGTGTTGCTAAAAACAAGATGTTGCAATAGTTTTAAATTGTGTTGATAGGCCAATATTTTTAATGATTTGTTCGCTTTTTCCTCATGTCAGAGTTTGTTGATCGGGTGTTTTGTTCAACGCCTCCCACTCTTTTTGGGGTTTTTTTTTTTTACCCAGTAAAGGTTTTAATAGTAATTACAAGAATGTTATGGATGCTAGAACCGTGTTTCCTTCACTCAACCTGAGCTCAGCGTTTCATAATGACTCTGCCTCTTTGCTCTTTGTGGTGTGTATGTGTGTAGGTGGGCTCCATCTCCACATTAATCCTCTGAGGTCCGGGTGTAGTTGGCCATTTTTGACTACTTTTGATTTTATCTTTTTATTTCACCTTTAAACACGGGTATTATGCTTTTCAGCACAACCATGTCTGAATTTACAGTTATTTTCTTTATTTTGACAAACTGTATGAACACAATTGACCTAAACTCACATAAAAACAAAACCAATCGTAAAATCTGAGCAGTTCGATTTTAGACTAATAAAAACCACAACACAAATTATTTTCCTAACTTGATATATAAATTGTAAATTTTTAAAACTTAAGCACAAATTTTGCAAACAAAGTTATACATAATATTTACCTAGAAATGCTGCCATGCTTTAGGTGTTTTTGGGTTGTTGTTTGGTTTTTTTCCCACAACCATTTAAAACTATTTACAAAACAGGTCCCACAAAATGATGCCACACAAATTATTTTTGCCGCTCAAAAAATAGTTTCTGTCCACACCAAGACAGGGTAGCACATCGCGGGCCTGACAACAGATGGTGTCACTCCTCCTGTTTTAGACCTGGAGACAGCGTTGACATTGCATCCTTACATCTACCTTTGGTGGCTTTTTGGCTACCATCTGTGACATTCAGTAGTGGAGTCATTGTTTTGACACACAAAACAAAGCCAATAACTACACTACTACACAAAAACTTCCCCCTCTTCCTAAGCAATCAAATGCCACATGTTTCAATATAATTTTTTGATTGGTTGACATGACGCATTGTTCCACCAACAGAGAAGGGAGTGTTCATCCTGTAATTAAGGGTGGCCACTCAACAATGGTGTTCATCAAAAACATTTTATTAGTTATTATTATTAACAATGTTTATTTGGTTTGAACTGCAAACGTGTGATCTTGTACTCACCTCGCTGCCCTTTCCCTGGGACATGCTATCATTGGTCAGTTCTTCATCGAAAGCACTGCTGCTCTTTGTCTTCTTTTTGGACTTCTTCGCTTCTTTGTCACTATCACTGCTACTATTAATGTTGTCCTCACCATCTTCCTTGTCGTCATCATCATCATCGCCGTCGCCATCATCGTCATCATCATCGTCGTCGTCGTCATCATCGTCGTCGTTGTCATCGTCATCGCTAGCACTTTCACCACCCTCTTCATCTGTGCCTCCTTTCTGAGAGTTTGCTTTGCCTTTCTTCTTTCCTGCTGTGGGTCTCCAGTCGTTATCGTCTTCACTATCGTAGTCGTCCATCTCGTTCAGGTCTTCCATGGTGGTAAAGTCCAGAAGTGGGCGGTTCCTGCGGAAATTCCATTTCTTGGGCTCAGCTTGAGACTCTTCAGCATTTACATTGTTGGATGCAGACACTAAGGAAGATCCAGTTTCCGCAGCTTCAGCGGGCTCTGAAATTTTCTTGGTCTTGCGTCTGCCTTTGGGTGCGATGACAGTGGGAGTGTCTTTGGTGGAACTGTCTGACGATTGCTGCCGTTTGCTCTTCTCCTCATCCTCAGTCAAGTTCTCCTCAGCAGCCAGGTCTTTGGTCTCCCCATCATCTATGTCATCGTCTGCTGAAGCAGCATTATCTGAATCACTTTCTGAACCGCCTGCACTCACTTTGGACCCTTCTTCATCACTGCCATTGCCTGTGCCCTCTGACCCTGTCACAACAGAGAAGAAAGTGTCTGTGAGATCACGGAAATGTCTGGCTGTTTCTCCAGCAGAACCACAATGTGGAGGAGGGTCTGTTTACAGTCAAACTGGCATTACTGAACTTAATAGCAAAAAGTAAAGAAATTTGGGACCCACAACTTCATTTTCTTTACAAAACAGGCACCATGTAAATAAACAGGCTTTCAAATGGAATAACATTTACTGTCAAGAAGCATTCTCACAGCACAGAAATAATCAAACAAACACAAATTTCTCAACTTCATATGTATACACCTCCTCAGTGTTTGTTTTGACTTCTGTGGTTAGGGCCTCCTTTGATGTATTTTTCTTTTATAATGCCCAACAGGTCACGGCAGATGCCCGCCCTCCCCGAGCCTGATTCTACTGGAGGTTTCTTCCTGTTAAAAGGGAGTTTTTCCTTCCCACTGTCACCAAAGCGCTTGCTCATAGGGGGTCATATGATTTCACAGGACTCTGTTAAATTCTAAAATAAAAATAAAAAAACTAAGTACACCCTTACTTTTTTAAGAGGTTAAGTAGCAGCCAGGTGCTACTAATGAAATTAATTAACTGATCATCAGCAAGGGTGACTACCTCTGGAGCATTTAGGTATCTGTTAACACAATGCCACAATCTTCTCACAAACCCACATGCCAAATTCACCTCAAGATCAGACCAGGCAATGCTCAAGAGCAACTGCAAAACACCCAAAACCTTTATCTCAGACTCCACAGGCACCAGTTAGGGTGTGAAATTTTAAAGTTCACGACAGTACAGCTAGAAAAAGACTAAAATCAGTGTGAGTTGTCTGGAAGGGTTGTCAGAAGAAGACGTCTTCTCTTTTAAAAGAACATGTTTTGATTCTACAAGCTCTCACATATTGCGACATAATTACCTTCACAGTCTCTGCCCACACTGAAGTTTTATGTGGCAGTGGGCTGAGACTGCAAATCAAGAAAGAAGTCCCTGCTTCAAAATCAGCATCTGAAGCTTGACTAAAATGTGCAGCTGCTCACATGGGCATCATCCTCTAGTATAGAAAGATTTGGAGGAATTGACTTCCTCCAGATTCCTCAACTTCATCTAAAATCAAAAGCTTAACGGTTAAAACTGCGATGCAACGGCTTGATCCAGCAGAAAAGTTATTCCAAACACACATCCAAACTAGTTTTGAAATCGATGTAGCAGGGTACAATAAAGTCTGTGAATGGTCCTCTCAAAGCCCCAAAAATAACCCTATAGAAAATTTCAGAAAATCATCAGAAGAAAGCCTAATGTGATATTTTTCAGATTCTTGAAATTTAGGATTATTATGAACCACAGATGACGAATTACACCGGAAAGTTTTATTCCAAAATTAGTGACTTGTGCATAAGAAAATTAAAATTCATCATTTCAACATTTCATATGTTGTTTTATGTAAATGAAATATCGGGGTTAAATTATTTTCTTTTATTTTCTAATACGGTCAAGTCATAGCATTTTTATTAAATTTTGCGCAACATTTAAACTTTTCTAAAAAAAAAATAATAATAATTAATTAAATTAAATAAAACAGTTTGCATTTAAGTTAGCCAGCCAAAAGCTTATTAGTCTCAAGCCATTTGGACTGTTCATTTCATAACAATAAAAAGCTATGCATGTATTTAATACTGTTAGACATCACAAAGGCCATACTTACCTGAAGCATCTCCTACTTGAAAGTCACTGTCATCTGAACTGTCATAATCCAAGGCATCAAGCAGAGAGGCAGCAAGTGGTTTTACCTGCCGTCGCTTTAAACTGCGGTCCACTACATGGGGGAGTCCCAGAAACCAACAGACAAGAATGCAACATTTGAGTAAGATGTAATGAGCAGAAAAACACAGCTGAGAAGAAAAAAAACTATAAAAAGCAGATAAGCTTTGCATGTTTAACCATGCAAAATTGTTTTTACTTTATTGCATAATGATCATTATAAAGCATAAAAGTGATAATATTTTATTTGATAGTATTTCAAATAAAAATTGGGCTATGAAAAGGAGATGCTAGCAGATGGTTATGTGCCCATATGTAAAGTGCAGCGTTCTGTACTGCTGACCATAATATATTATTACAGCGATTACAGCATGCTATAGGTATTAAAGGTACGCTGCAGTGGTTTGAAACATCTGTCTAACAGATGGAGAGTCCTCTTCACACACTAAGGTTAATTATGGAGTTCCACAAGGTTCTGTGCTAGCACCAATTATTTTTACATTATACATCCTTTCCTTAGGTTGTATCATTAGAAGGCATAGAATACATTGTTGCTGTTATACAAGTGATACTCAACTTTATCTATCCAAAACAGATAACACACACTATTTAGTTAAACTAAACTGCAGGAATGTCTCAAAGGTAGGTAGACGACCTCCAATTTTCTGCTTCTAAATTCAGATAAAACTGAGGTTGTTGTGCTCGGCCATAAAAAGTCTTACAAATATGGAATCTAGCCTCTGGATGCCACTACCTTAAGCTCCAGTAACACTGTGAGGAGTGTCTGAGTTGGGGTAAACTTAAGTGTCCATAAAGGGCTGAAAAATGTCTATAAGAGAGCCACTGACAATTTGTCAGCAAGATAGTTCCAGACTTTGAAGGCCTATACTGTTTTCTGCAGCCAAGTCTATGCTTTTCATACATAATCTTTTTCTTGCCTCCCACATTCCTGGTGAACTCAAGAACAGAAGAAGCAGTTTCATCCCACTTGCCAATCAGTCAGCATTGGCCTACATGCTGCTGAGTTTTGGTGGACTCCACAAAAGTATGTTTGAAAGGGTAGGAGTTTTATGGTTGAAAACTCCTAGGCATAGGGAAATGCATACCCTTATATATACCTATAAAATACCAAAGGTACCGCAGTGCCGTAGGTAGGTTGTGTACGATAACACAAAGTTGCTTCAATGTAGAGATTGTTTTGTAATGATGGTCTAGTTCACCTGTACGGTCTGCACCTCAGATTGACGGCGAGTTACACTTAAAGACATTTAAAGCAAACTCAATTTGTGCTTTATGCAAATCAATCTATGCTGCTACAAAAAATATTCAGCACCCAAACGTCCAATTACTTTTTAGCCCTTAACGTTCGGGTATCCTGTATCAAAAGGACAGTTCTCTCTCAAACGCGGCTTTAAATAGTGGCGTAAACCTATCTATTGTTTTCACAATAGACAATAGACACGAAACACAACGTTAATCAGCTGCAGACATTAGGTTTTCTGATGCTGGGATTTGTACAGCTCTTAGCTACGCAACTTGCCTATTAGCACACTGTTAGCAAACAAATAGCACCGCTGCGCCTAAACGGCTATCAAAAGCGGTCCCTGTTTTGTTTTCACGAACGATACATGTTTGTTTTTCTTTTTAACTGAAGAATCTACGATAGTCGTCTAAAACAGCCTAAGAGGTACACTTACCAGACATTTTGGTCCGTCAAGCACCATAGCTAATCGTGCTGAGCATTATTAGCTGTGCTTAAATTATGACCTTCTAATTGAATCACTGATGCTCGTGATGCTTTTAGTATACATATAGGGACACAATTAAAAGCATTCAAAAGTAAGATCCAAGTTAATGTGTTAACATCAGACCAAGTTAATGCAAAACTGCACGTAAAACACAACAGCATTAGCATTTAGCATACCAGCAACATCACTACTAGTCACAAAGTAGAGCCGGGCTAGCTAACTAGCAACAGTTTGAGGGAACAAATAATTGTTAATTGTGCCAGACGGCAAATACAATTTGACTATATATATATCTATATATCTATATATAAAAATGACAACGTGGAAGGACTCACTCTGTACTTCACGTTCACTACGACAGGTCTCCTATTAGAAGCATGGTATATGGACAATGGAGAACACCGTGGTGACGTACTGACGGCTGCATATTGTTGCTATGAGGACAGTTACGTAGTGACAGTCACGTGAGAGTTTGTGAATCAAAATAATAATATCTGAGTTTATAAACTTTATTTAATTAATGATGACATTAATTGTGTATAGAGTGCATGTAGGCCTACTATAAAACCAATGCTAAGTTTTGGAACCATAGAAATTATTAAAACAGCCCCCACTTACTGTATACAAGTTTTTATCATAGACTATCCAATTTAGGGGATTTTTATTTATTTATGGGTTGTTGTTTTTTAAGAATGATTACTATTACTAATTACTAATTACCAATAGAATAACATAACTTTTTTCATTCTGAAACTTGGGAAATCCCTGTTACAACAGCTAAAACCAATAAATAGCTTGAAATTTGTATGTAGCACAACAAAATTTCCATAAGCTAAAAACTTCATAACACAAAAGAACTCAGTTAAATAGAAAGAAAATAAAGGTTAGTGTGTAAAAAGCTGACTATAAAAATAAATAAATGGGATAAAATGTTTATGCACATCAGAACTTTTCTAAAAAATGTACCTATTGGAGCTGGAATTCATGTCAACAGCACTGAACATTCATGGGGATGGTAAAAGTTTAAATTTCCATTTAAAATATCTATTTATGAACATTCTCACATT